CTAAATGAAAGTGGGTCAGGACTTGGAATTTCCAAGTTACTGATCACTGGCCACCCGAGGAGGGCATAATCTTGGGCAGGGAAATTTCCTAAAGCTGGGGGTAATTTCCAACAAGAAAATCAGCTGTGAGCCATCAGTAGCTAGTATTTGCCACAGCTAGGGGACAAATGTGTTAGCTGCATAGGTTAGGCACTGCCATCAATCTATTTCCTTCTTTCTGCACATGCATATAACACAGAAAATAAAACAATTCTATGAAGCAGAATTTCCCTTATGCTGCCCATTTCTTCCAGCTAAATATTTTCAATTCCTGTAGCTGGTTATTGTTATATTTAATGTTCAGTTAACCAAAAGAGTTCTTCCTGACCTTTTTCATATGGGGAGTGCCATTAGGCCCTGCTGTACTTTGACCATTCTCTGAATAGCCCTGTCCTCTAAGAGATAAAAACCTACCCCAAACACTTAGGAAATCAATATCTTAAGGTTCACCTATAACCAATTATTTGTCTTTTGCTCCGTTTTTTTGTTTGCTTTGTTTTGGAGGGAAAATAGCCTCAGTTTTATCTTTCAATTCTTTTATTATTTTATTTCTGTTATAATGTTTTTAATTTCTGTGGATCCTTTTTGTTATTTATGTTGTGTTCTATTTGTATTATATCATCCTACTGTCTTATGAAAGCAATATTTCATCTCTTTAGCAATATGATAATTTATGTGAAGCCATCTTCTCCCTGAATGATCTTAGGCCCCCCCTAAATTGCTGCTTTATGTTATTTAACCTCTATATTTAATTTTAGAAATCTTAAAATATCTGTTAGTTGTTAACTTTCTGGTATATTTTGAAATGGCCGTGAAAAAGTTGACTGAAACGTGGATAGGCTTGTTGACCCACAATGAAGTGCTATTGGTGTCTTCCTCTTGGGCTAGTTTTCATTAACGAAGATTCTACTAAAAGAATATAATCTTAGCTGCCAGTTTTGAGATCTGAGTGGGGAAAAAAAAAAGCTTGAAGGTCTCAACATTTTAAGTGTATCTATTGAATTAGTTTCCGTGTGTGTGTGTGTGTGTGTGTGTGTGTGTGTAATACCATCTCTCTACCAGCTACTGCTGGTGTCTCTGAATCCATTTTCCCTCTTTCAGATCTTCAATCTGCACCTTTTCTTGGTTGAGGAGAGGCAGTCACTTTATGGCACAAAGGGATAGATGGTCTTGGTGAATCTACCTGTTTTTAAACACAGCCTCACCTTCAATTGACTTTCAGAGGTACCTAATGCCAGTGATTTATGTGTTTTGGGGGTTCTGTTTACTGTAGCCTTCTATCTCCATTTTTGTCCTGGTAGGTTTAGATATTAGACACAGACACACACATACACACACACACACACACACACCCCACACACAATAATACAATCTTTACTGCTAATTTAGTGGGCCTGAGAATACATTCAACATTCATTTTAGACAGAATTCCTCCAAACTTTTGTATTGTTTTTTAATTTTAGTGCGTTTAGATAACATAATGTTTATCAAGTTGGACCTTGGAATTTGTTGGTTTCATTTGTGATTAGTACATGGCTGTTTTGTTGGTGTTTACATTTAAAAAATATTTTTCATTTGTTATGTGTAATTTTTTTCTGTCTCTTAATGAGCTTATTAATCATACTATTCAAATTTTCTATATCTTTACACATTTTCTAATCATTTAATTACAAGGTGGTTCTATTTAAATCTCCAAAGACAATCATTAAATTATCTACTTCTCACTATAATTCTATCAGTTGCTACTTTATATATATATATATTGATGCTACATTGTGGGGTACATATTTGGTTCCTGATTATTATGATCCCTTATTATTTTGACTTTATGTGCATATATAGTTCATACTTGTCCTTTGTTATTTTTTCAAGTTAAATTCTATTTATTTTTTTTCTGATATTAAAATTATCTGGCTTTCTTTTGATTCATTTTTGCCTAGAGCTTCTCTTTTCCTTATTTCTGGTCTTTTCATACCTTTTTGTTTTAAGCACATGTTTTGTAATCAAAATACTGTAATCCAATATTCTATTATAATCACAAGGTACTATAATTTGGCTTTGGATTAGTTATTTTCATTGACTTACATATATTAGAATAGACACCATTATTTCTGCATTCTTATTTAGTATTTTTTATTTACCACACATTTTATATTATGTTTTCTTCTTTCCTGTCTTCCATTGGAAATACCAAATTTCTTTACCTGGTGTGAATATTTTATTAAACCTAGTTTCATTCTTCTTATGCTTACTACAAATATAGTAAAATTCTTATGATTATTTTATTTCCTCATTTCTTAATCTTTTATAAATATTTTTGTCTTTCCGCTAAAGAAGACAACTACCTTAGCATAATATATCACATTCCCTCAATTCCCTTCACCTAGCATTTTCGCTTCAAATTATTGTAACCAGCTTACATTTTACTAATTTTACTCATATTTTGTGCTTTTTCTTGTGGTATCATTCTAGATTTATTTCCCTTTTCCTCAGATTACTTTTTAAATAATATTTTCAAAGAGAATCTTTTTGTAGTAAACTCTGGAATTTAGAGATGTTTGAGTAGCTCTTTATTTCATGCCTGTATTAAAACATTAATTAGCTATGCATAACATTATAATTTTAGAATTCTTTTTCTTAAATAATTTGAAATATAGTGTATTATTTTAATACATCAAGTGTTATAAGAAAAATCTATACATCAATAAGAGAAGTTTGATATTAATATGATCTTAGTCCTTTGTGATCTCATTTTTATTCAGAAAGCTAAAATTTTTAAAATTTTGTATTTAATGGTGTTAAGTTTCATTAGGTAATTATTGGCTTTACCTTATCCACCTTCTTTTGCCCTCTTTTCAATCTTAAATCTTTTATTCTGAGAGCTTCTTAGAATATTTCTTTTTCTGCTAGTTTTCCCTTTTATTTGGACTGTTATATAGATGATAATAACTCATTTCAACTCTTCATAGCTCTTGAATTTTCTTTTATACTTTGCCAATCTGTACCTCTTCTCAATATATGATGGATAAATTTCTCAACTTACTATCTAAAATGCATTTTTTTTTCTTAAGCCACATCTCTAATTTGCCATTTAATTTAGCTATTAAGCACTGTATTTCAATTATGTTTTTTCTCAACCAGGATTTTCAAATAGTTCTTTAAAAAAAAAAACTTTCTGCCTTTATTTCAAATTCCTATTTGTTTTCATATCTCTTTGAAAATATTTACTATGTTTGGTTTAAATTGGTTTTCTGTCTAGTACTATTATTCTGTTCCTCTAGTATGGATTATTCAAAGTATTACCTTCCTTTTATAGCAGGTAACTTATAAAATTTCTTGTTATTCATTGTAATCTCATATTTGTCTGGAGGCATTATTACATCAATAGGGTATACAATGAGAGAAGCTAAATTCCAGGTCTTAACTTTTGACATCCCTGCAGTGGCTTGGGTGGGCATGGTGGCTCACCCTTGTAATCCCAGCACGTTGAGAGGCAGAGGCGGGTGGATTACTTGAGGTCAGGAATTCGAGACTAGCCTATCCAACATGGAGAAACCCTACCTCTACTAAAAATACAAAATTAGCAGGGCATGGTGGCAGGGACCTGTAATCCCAGCTACTCTGGAGGCTGAGACAGGAGAATCGCTTGAATCCGGGAGTCAGAGGTTGCAGTGAGCCGAGATCATGCCACTGGACTCCAGCCTGGGCAATAGAGTGAGACTCTGTATCAAAAAGAAAAAAAAAAGTATATCTATATATATAAATGTGCCTTAGAATGGAGAATATTGGTATTTAATCTAGGCCCATTTACCACACTCCCAACCAGTTAATCCTGCCCCTCAGTAAAACTTCCTTTTCCATCATCCTTAGCCTGCTCTTATCTCCGAGTTATCTTCCTCAATTGTAATAACTGAGTTCATGCAACAAGGGAAGAGGAAGAAAGAAACCTTCTCATTTGCAGTTCTTTGCTTCCCACTTCATGCACCTCTAGACGCACTGGAGTGCCACCTTTCAGCCTAGCAGATGTGGTAAGAAGCTGCTCAATTTTTGCTTGGCAGAAATGATGAAATGAGCAGCAATCCAGCCAGGGCAATGTTGTGGTGAGAGAAGAGCAGATAGAAAGGCTTTTCCCCAACCCAACTCCTATTGTACACAGTCCTCATCTTCTCTGAACTGCTGCTCCCAGCTACATCATATTTCATTCATCTTTTCTTTCCAGGGGTTTCTCAGATTTGCAGCATTATTTTCTCAGATTGGTCAATCTCACCCCCTTCTTACACGTGTGGCAGATTCAGAGTTGAATTTGGGAGAGGAAGAAAAGAGTCTATGTTATTTTGACATCTTGGCAAAAATGGGAAGCCTCAATAATACTTAAATAAGAATATCTTGGAAATATCAGAGATCAGAGCTGCTAATTGTAATCATGAGAATTCAGAGTATCAAGTCTTTGTTCAAGGAAAAGGAATCCTTTTATTTGTGATTTAAATGCCTTAGAAATTAAGTGGCAAATTTTAGTTGAATGAATGGCTGAATGAATGTACTGTGTGTTTGTTCTTTTGCACTGGAATATGCATATGTGGTGGAGAGGGTGGTGTAAATGCGCATGCTCTTCTGCTTTCATGTGTTTAGGGATATATGACTGGTCAATTCCATGTGTGACTACAAGAGATGTTGAGAAAATCACCCTAAGCCTTGCTTTGAAAATATTCAACTACAGTAAGAAGTCATCTAACATTCTAATTTTTCATGAACATAAAAGAGCAAAAAGAAAAATTACATTATCTTGTAATATAGAGAATGTTATACAGAGAAATTATATTCCACTCATTTAATGATCATGTATTAAGTCACATGCTAGCACTATACCAGACAATAGGATCACAAACATAAGTAAGATATAGTGAATTCATAATCTAATATGAATCTATAATTTAAATAATATCATCTATACAATAATACAGATACACACAGAAGGTGATGGGAGCAAACTGAAAAGAGTCTGCAATTCCAACTACTGGAGTCAAAGAGTAGCTGAAAAGATCTCTGAGAAGAGTCATGGAATCAGGTAAAACTCAGGGTATGTGGGGATGATGAGTCACATGATGTGGCCAGAGTGCAGTGGCACAGAGCCCAGGAAGATGAAGGACAGGAACTTCTTAGAAAGTTGGAGACACAGATGGAGTCATAGGATAAACAAAGTTATATGTCATCACAAGGAATTTATATAAAACCCATAACCTAAGTTATAGAAAGTCTTAAAATCTTTGCAAGATAACTTTTTTTTCAGATGACCTAAATATACTGGATTATTTTTGTGTTGCCATGAGGTCTATCTCTTTGAAAGCCTGTGAAAACTACTGAAGCTTCTGCCTTATTCAAATAATCAACATCCTTAAGAAGTTAACATAATGGGGTGATATAAGCATACACTATGCAGTCAGATGTAGAATCTTGGCCGATTCGTCTATTCAACAAGCTATGTGACCTTGGGCATATAGCTTAAACCCTCTGAGTATCAGTTATGAAATGGTATCTTAGTTCGTGTGACCATTAGGTGGTTTAAATGAGGTAGCCCAGTAGATATATAATAAATGTAACATTTTGAAGAGAGGACCATTTAGTATATGGCTTACGTTATAAAATAATAGTTTAAAATCAAAAGGTTGATTCTCTAGTGATCAAAATTACTTCTTTATTATCATAGGGAGGTAATTTATATCACATATTTTTAGAAATGAGTTTGACACATTGCAGATGTTCAGTAAACCCTTGCAGAATTAATGAATATATTTTTATAAATACCTAGTTGTTCTGGACTAGAAGGTCAGTATGATGCTGCCAAGTTAAATAATATAACTTATACAATTATTTTAAAAGTATTTTCAAGACAGTTGTACTTCATTTTAACCCCTACTACACACACACACACACACACACATATATATATATATATATTTTTTTTTTTTGGCCAGAGGATATAATGCTCTTACTTTTTTGTGTAACTGAGGCTGAAAGAGTTCAAATTTAAATCAAAGGCCTTTTTGTGGAAACTTATTAGAATTCTTTTTGTGGTTAAGTGATCTAGCAATGAAAGCTGTGTTTTCCTGGTTTCCTAAATCTCTGGGAGAGGAATTATTCTGCGTGCAAAATGCATTCAGCTGTCAGAGCAATGGGCTCTGGAATAGACCAACAATTTTACAGTTGAAGACCAGATGTGATTGAAAGTGTCGAGAAAAAGCAGAGTCACAGGGTCAAGTGCTAATTTTTCAGATCAATTTTTAAACCATCTCTGCTGATTAGGGCAACAGCAGTATCCATGTACATTGTGGGAGAACAGAAGCTAACATAATTCATCTCAGCTTAGAATATTTGTGAGGTATTCTTGATTCATCCCTTTTTTTCCCTGCACATTTGAAAACATTTTGGAGGGGAACTGTGGGAATCATCTTCCCCAGAACACTGGCAGATCTTTTTTAATTCCATTAATGGAAGCTTGGTGCCAGTTCAAAACGCTTTGTTAAATATTATCCTCACTGGTGCCCCTGTTTCCAGCATTCCATTGGCACAGAGTTTAGAACCCAGATCTCTGCAAACGTGTTAAAAGGTAGGAGTCATTTTTTTTCTTTCATCTGGCAGTTATCTGGGAAGTTCTGAACTCATAATAGTTGCTGAATGGTGCTGTCCTGCATGAAAGAATACAGAGAGGGAAGTTCCAGCTGTTTTTTTTTTTTTTTTTTTCCCAGTGTCACAGGAAAGAGCTGTGGTTCTGGATAATTTCCCATGCTCATTCTTTTCAAAATGAAGAATCCTGAAATTCAACTATAGTATAAAATTACTCAAATTCCAGTTTTCTTTCCAGAAAATGGACAAAGCAGGATATATTTTTCATTGATAAGTAGGCAAAAACAATTGTTTCTTCCCAATCTTGAATTTACATTAGTGTCTATCTACCATCCAATAATCTCACATGACTTTCACCTCAATTGTGTGCACCTGGACAGGACAATACAAAAAGCTGGATTCACTAGTCCTGGGAAAGCTGGATGAGACCTGAATGATTCTCAGGAGGAAAAATCAAGCACACTAAAGGTGAAGTCCTTCTGTTTCTTTTATGAAAGAAAGTTTCACAGGGGAAAAATTTATATCTAGGCCATTCTTCCATTTAAGGCTACCACCAGCTTTATTCATTTGGATAAAGATGCAAAGTAATTGTTAAAACTGAAATTTTAGGCGGGGTATGGTGGCTCATGCCTGTAATCCCAGCACTTTGAGAGGCTAAGGCAGGCGGATCACAAGGTCAGGAGTTCGATAGCAACCAACATGGTGAAACCCCATCTCTATTAAAAATAGAAAAAAAAACAAAAAGAAAGGAGCCAGGCATGGTGGCATGCCTGTAATCCCAGCTACTTGGGAGGATGAGACAGGAGAATTGCTTGAACCCAGGAGGCAGAGGTTGTGGTGAGCCAAGATTGTGCCATTGCACCCCAGCCCAGGCAACAAGAGCGAGACTCCATCTCAAAAAAAAAAAAAAAAACCACAACTGATATTTTAGAACATTACACCTATTCTTTAGCATTTGTCTAACCAATTTGCTGAGGATATAGTCTCATGTGTTCTCCTCGTTTATGAACAAATGTGAATGCACAATGAACGTGAATAGCAGTTCTAGTCTTACATTGGATTCCTTGTATCAATGCCACTGGCCATGAAAAGCCTGAGCTATTGAATGTGCAGTGTTAATATGCAAGGTAAGGGAGACCACGCTTCACTTGACATTAAGCCTCCAACCTTATTTGGGAAAATATTCCTTACCTGATAGCATGGCGTACCACCCTTTCAAGTAACATAAACAATATTTAGAAAGGTGATTTAATGCAGAGAACACAGTACCAACAAACATGGGATCTGGATTATGCAAAACAAAACTGAGAATTCATCAATATTCCTTTCTTACATTTTAATCAAACAATTACATATATTTAGGTATAATATGAGATGGTAAGTATAATGCTCTTAGGATGAATGGGGATCAATGGTGAGTGCAGGGTCAGCACCCCAGCCTGAGGACGTTGGGACTACTTAACATAGAAGACTCATATAAGCTAGCTCTTACATGATGAATAACAGTTTTTCCAGCAGAGAAGGAAAGGAAAGTGTGGTGGACAGAAAGATGACCCCAATGACCTTGACTTTGTATAATTCTCTTCCATTAAGAGTGCATGACATCTGTGGATATAATAAGATATTACTCCTGTGACTGCATTGTATCTATGGCAAAAGAAATTTTGCAGATGTAATTAAGGTCTCTAATCAGTTGAGTTAATGAAAAGGAGGATATTTGGGTGGGCCTTATCTAATCAGTTGAACATTTAAAAGGTCTGAGTCCTTCCTGAAGTCACAGAGGTTGAAAGCGTGAGATGGTCTATGGTGGGGACCCTGTGACAAGGACCTGAAAGTAGCCTCTGAGAGCTGAGTGCAGACCCCAGACAACATCTAGCAATATCATGGGAACCTGTGTTCTATAGCTACAACAAGGATGTTAATTCTGCTGAGCATCTGAAACTACTTGGAAGCAGATCTTTCCCTAGTCAAGTCTCCAGCTGACTGACATCTTGACTTCAGCCTTCTGGAATACCAATCGGGGAACCCAGCTCTGCCTAGCCTCAACTTCTAACCTACATATGATAATAAATGGATGCTGTTTTAGCCACTTAGCTATTGAGTGGGTTTTTAAAGACTCTATAGCAATAGAAAACTAAAACAGAAGAGAATCCTACAGAGAAGTAATAGCATGGGCTACCTTGTAGGCGAGAAGGTACACCAGGAATGTGATAGGATGGCCAATGTCCTTTGCGGTCAGTCAGACATGTCATGTTGAGGAGTGACAGGAGATGGGTGAAAAGTCAAGTTAGAGCTACTTTGTGAAAGGCCTTTTAAGAAGGAGCATGATCAGATTTTAAGCACAGAAGTCCAATAATTAGACCTGCATTTAGAAAAATAAGTGGTAGAAAAGTAATGGAATTGGAGGAAGATAATGTGGAATACAGGGAGACCAATAAGAAAGCTATGGTAATAATCAAGGCAAGAAGTGCTGAAGGCTTAAGGTAAGGCTGAGCTATAAAAATAAGAAAGAAAGGGTGCTTCAAGGGACATTTTAGTGACCAACGTTTTTGTTCTCAACATTATTTTAAATTTCTCTGAAAAACAATAGAGCTGTGGATCTTCTAGCTGGCGACAAAACCTCAAAAAATCATCTGCTGATACATTTCAAATATAAATAGTTCATCATAAGCTAAGAAAACATCGAGTTGCTCAGGTGAAAATAAGTAGGCATAAGCAAAATATACATAATTATATATATATATATTTTTTTTTTTGAGACAAAGTCTTGCTCTATTGTGCAGGCTGGAGTGCAGTGGTACAATCCTGGCTCACTGCAACCTCTGCCTCCTGGGTTCAAGCAATTCTCCTGCCTCAGCCTCCCGAGTAGCTGGGACTACAAATGTGCACCACCACATCTGGCTAATTTCTTTGTATTTTTAGTAGAGACAAGGTTTTGCCATGTTGGCCAGGCTGGTCTCGAATTCCTGACCTCAAGTGATCTGCCTGCCTTGGCCTCCCAAGTGCTAGGATTATAGGCGTGAGCCACCACACCTAGCCAAGCCATGTTTTTGCTTAATTCTTTTTTATTGTATATAAGTTCTATGATCATAGCATAGTGATTTGGTTGATCCAGGGCACTATTTTAAGATAAATAGTAAACTATACATCAAATTGAGATACATCTTTTATCTTGTCTAGCCTCCTGCTTTTAGACAGGCAAAATATTATTATTCACATGAAGTAATTTAGGTTAAGAAGGCCAACTAACCTGTCACCAGGCCATCACCACACTCGAGAAGGTGACTAGAGGCTCATTTTGCAGACTCCCGCTTTTTTCCATTACACCATCAACAGCAGACCAGGCAAGTGATTGCACTGAAGAATCTGGGAGACACATTAGCCACAAGAACAGGGTCACAGGAGAAATGATACGGACAGGAATTTCCAAGATGAGTCTGGGAATAATGCAAGAAATAACAAGCATTTTCATTTTTAACTCTCTGCTATATTTAAATTGAGTGTATAGAGTCTACTGTATATTTTTATCAAACAAGAAAACACTCATCTTTTAGCATAGAATCATTGGCCAGCTTTTGTTAAATTCTAACAGCTTTACAAAACAGACTCAGATTCAAATTTAAAGAACTATGTTCAGTTTTTCTTTTTTTCTAATTAACTCAGAGTTGAGATTTAATTGTGCCCAGGGCCTTAACAACACTGCTGTGCTTATTGGCATAATCTCTAGAATCCAGATTTTGCATATACACACCATGGTAACTGTTACTGTTATGTTTTCCTGCAGCATTTTCCTTTCTTGTAGCTAATCTTTTAAAAAGCCAAACCTCATTATTTTAGGTCCTTACCTAGATGAAACATTTGCTTTTGCACTTAAATGTTTTCAGAAACTCTGATTGGAACAGAGCAGGGTAACCCACGTTACGGGGCTCCTTCCAGGCTTCCTTTGAAGTCACTAGGAACAAGGTGCAAAGAAGGGACACTCTCTATGTGGAAGGGAGTGATAAGGATCAACATCCTATACTAGGGTGAAAATATGTTCACTTCTGAAGATAATATCTCTTTGGTTTGCATTTACATTCAATGTTTGTAAGGATCCTGGAGAAATAGTACAGAAGCTGTGCCTCGGTTCCTGGATGAATTGAGCATTTGTTGCCCTGGAAAAAGAATCCATCCTGTGGGGATGTCAATGGCAGCTGAATGAAGACCAGAAAGGATGAAGAATTGCAGATCGAGCCCTGGCCCCAGTTGGATGGGATTTCAACCAAGCGTGGTATTATTTTTCCTTTTTGTTTAATGGCCTTGTGCTTTTCTTCCCTGTTAGGATGTGGGGTAGAGCACGTTCAACCCAGGCCTGCGCTCTTGGGATGCCTAAGAAGGGCACAGTAGGCTCCCTACTCTCGATGTGTGGCATTTTCCTGGGGCTCTGCAAGGGCCAGTCGGTGGTGTTTGCAGGTTTTCCAGGTGTTGCTAAGTTCAGTCTCTCACAGAAACTCTCTAGAAACTTTAGAAAGGTTTCTTTTTGGTGGATCATGCTATTCCTGGGGATGACTACAGGATTTATAAGAGGAGTCAACATTTTGGACCAGGCTCCAATATGAAGCAACACAATCAGCGATAATCTGGCCTAACCCTAACAGAATATTACATCACCATTAACTTGGGAATTTCATGTTTACATGTTTAGGTGTAATCATATTTAACCCCATCAATCTGGCCACACATGGGAAAAGCTCCCATTCACTTTCCTGCAAGCACAGTCTGCAAAAGGAGCTGTACTCAATGTCCGAGTTGCCTTTGAGTCCACGTGCCTTTAAGGCAGTTACAACATCTTTCCCCAATTCTGACCTTAGCACTGAGACACTTCTGCCAAGATCCCACAAGTTACAGTCCCCTGGGCTTGTTGCTGAGATCCTGTAAAGTCATTCCACTGGCACAGCTACAGAAAGAGCCACACCCAGGACACAGCAGGCCCAGATTGCTCACTCTCTGCCCATTGTCCCAAGCCATCAAAAGAGAATACATGAAATCTAGAATCCTCAAAGAGAAGAATAGGGGAGGAGAACCACAGCACAAATGGGCAATGCTCTGCTCATCCATTAATGTCCCACATTGCATCATCTTTTGGAAGCCTTATTCACTCCTCCCTCACCCCCACCCTCTGTTTCTTGACATATAGTTTTATGATTTCCTGTGTCACAGAACTTACTACACTGCATTGTGCTTACACATCTTTCTCCTCCACTGGACTTTAATCTTCTTGAAGACAGTGATTGCCCTGATTTATCTAATCAAGTAACATTTATTGAGTGCCTACTGTATACCAGAAATTATTCTAGGTATTTCAAACACAGTTGTGAATAAGGTAGGCAGGGTGTCCACTCTAGAACTCAATTCTGGCGAGGGAGACAAATATATAGGCATTTTTTCTAAACACTTTTATATTCCCAGATTCTAACACAATGCCGATCGTATAGTCAGAGTATAAATATATATATATATAATTTTAAATAAGTGAGTGAACCTATAACAACAAGATGTTTACAAAGTGCCTTTTAAGTATGAACTAAGTACTTCCAATTTTTTCTGCAACACTGTATGGAAATATTAGCTTCTTCACACCTGTCTGCAGGCTACTGGAGGACCCACTAAACTGGTTCATAGAAGAGTCACAAAGTTTAGGACAATCCACAGGGATGGCTGTGGCACCAGCCTGTCACCCTGCCCAGTAGGCATATCTGAGAGGGTTGTATGCCCCTGTGTCCAGGCTGGAACAAGTGGCATATGAGTGTCACCATGAATGGCAAGGGAATGACAAAGCCCACAGAGAAGCCCCTACTGTCACTCTTGCATCTTGCTGGGTTTCTAACATTCAAGATCTGAGTGCCAACAGAATGTTCCCATATTCTGTATGCCAGCCCACCCAACAGAACATGAGGCTCTGCATTAATTGAGCCCTTTCATTAGGAGTGATTCATCTTACAATCCTTCAGAATCCACGTGCCATGACTTCCTGTCATAGTGGACATCTACATGCTGCCAGCATCTTCTTTTGAAATCTGCCTCTTGCTTTCTCCAAGTGACCCAGAGGGGGCTGTTAATAACCATATGGCTTCCTTGTCACAGATTTGGAAGGTATGGAGGGGACACCGACTTAAGTCTTTTTCAGGAACTGTTATGGATTCTGAAAGAGTGACTGTGCTTTTTCCTCTGAAGCCATATCTAGGGAGATATAAACAGTACTTATAATGTAATCAAATAAAATTATTTTTATTTTCCATTTTCCCTTCAAAATTTCATCAGACTTAAACTTTTTTGTTGGCCAATTTTCTGATGATATGTAGGTCTTAGAGTTACTTGAAGTCACCCATACAGTCCCAATTCAGAAATTACAATGCTGAATCCAAAATGTTTACTTTAAACTTGATTTAAAGTAAAATGTTCTCCTATTACCCAATTTAGGCCTGGTTTAGGCTGGGAGGCAGCAGGGAATAGGGGTGGGGAGGAATGACATGGCTGACGTTTTTTATATTTCTCTACCATATTTCTCCACTTTTCCTAACAGCTCAACCCCCAAGCTTGTTAAGTAGTTTTTGATCCCTTTGGGATCAGAGTTATGGGTGGAGAAGAAGGAATGCTAACAAGTGAGGAAGATCCCTACTTAAAATGATTCTTGGGAGGCCGAGGCGGGTGGATCACGAGGTCAAGAGATCGAGACCATCCTGGTCAACATGGTGAAACCCCGTCTCTACTAAAAATACAAAAAATTAGCTGGGCATGGTGGCGCGTGCCTGTAATCCCAGCTACTCAGGAGGCTGAGGCAGGAGAATTGCCTGAACCCAGGAGGC